ATAAGTATTTTGGCAGCCCAATCCTGAATTACCCATGTGTGCAAAGACAGGCCTAGACGCAAGTAATGGTTCTCGGATAAAAGAGGTTTTCGCCATGCTGCCTAATTATGAACGGATCCTGAAACCTCACAAAACCCACGCATCAAAATCCCTGAAGTTCCTGTACATACCTTGGTTCTGGGCCCCCGTCTTGCAGGAGTTGGAGAGAGAAGTTGACCTCGAACGGGCGCGGATGGCTAGCAAGACCCCATCTTCCATGAGTACATGTCCTGCCACTGATGAGGAGTTACGTTCAGCAGGGTTGAGCTCGACTCCTGCATCTTCTACTGCTGCCTGTAAGACCTCATCTTTGGAAGCCCTTGAAAGCCATGCGGAAACTGTGCTTCAATATTCACCTCCTTCACTATGTTGCAATGCATGGTTTATCTTAAGGTTTCCCCACATAAACGGATTGACAAGCATGGGTATACCCCTAAGGAGTGCACGCAGAAGGCTACAACGGATGCTTATGAAATGATCATGAGTTCTGACGATGGTGAAGATGACAATGCCTCGATCGCATACTCCCCGGAAGTCACTCTCGCTGCAATTAAAATTAACAATCCTGCATGGGGGATTGCTTTGTGAGTTCTTTTTTGATCGATTGCGGAGAGCATGAAAATGCTAAGGGCCTGGGGAAATTCTTCAGGGAGCTGCACGAAACCTCAGCAACCCCGAAGAAGCGGACCCCGAAGAAGGAGGCTTCGGTTTCACCTGCCTGCATAGCAACCCCTCGAAGCAAACTTCGCCTGGCCTCATCGCCACCCCTTCACCGCATGACCGGCAAGACAGCTACTCAGACGCATGGAGACCACACGGATTGATAAGCTTCGTGGTAGCTACCCTGATCGAGTCATATGAATGCACATGCGTGGGGATGATATATAAGGATGAGCGGCTTCTGGATATTGTGCAGAAGCAGCAGGGCATTATTGTTGCTCTTCGAGCTGCTGAGCCACCGGCGAACCCAGCGGCCAAGCCACAGCCGCAAGCCCCAGCAGCAACGGCTGCCTGCCCACCAGCCCAAGCCCAGCCAACAACCCAAATCCAGCCAGGACCTGCTTCTGAGGCTGACTCTTGCGAGGCAGGTTGTTAAGAGTTCTGCTGGGGTAACGTTTTGTAAACATCAAAGGTTTTATCATATGTACTTAGTCAGGGTCAGGTTGGTGTACATATAGGCAAGTCTTAAATTAGAAAGGTAAAGCTAAGGCAGGCCCATGCGCTCTAGCAAGTAGCCTTCCAGATCTTGATTGCAACACATGGAGAATGAATATATAGATACTTATTATAATGATTAAAGATTTGATGTATGGTGGGTCTATACATCCAACCATGCATGGAGTACCATTGACACCCTGCCCCCATTACCTGAAACCTATGAGAGGGGTACTATATTCATTCCCTGAACTCAGCATGTGTAGGATTGGAAGCCTGGTTTCCTGTAGACCCGAAATGTAGGTGGAAGGCCCTGTGTTCCTTTTCAACCCAGCTGTAGCGTTGCAATGTATGTACCTATATAGCCTATATAGTTTTGTAGTGTGCCCTTTCCTGAAATTAACCCTATACCTGAAAAACCCAATTAAGACAACTATCTGAAACCCAACCAGGCCCCGGAAGGCGTGGACAAGCGGCTTTGGGCCGGGATGCGTGCAAAGGCCAATCGCCTCTGCTCACGCACCAAGACAGGTAGGCTGCAGGTCTCGGAAGAGGTCCATGGTATGTGGTTGCAGACTGGAGCTGTCCAACGGCATATGATTCAACTCATGGTGTCTGCTGATGGTGATCGGGAAGCCTGCCTATAATGAAAACATTCATCACTCGTAAGTGTGACAGAAACTAGAAAGTGTCTCCATCAGCTAAGGACAGCTTCTTGAGATCAGTGGAGGTCTTCAAGGAAACCTTGAGATTCCGTGAATCACATACAGATGGTGGTTGGTATTCCGAAGTGGATATGATGAAGCCAGTCTCCGAGGGTGGGTGTGGATTTTCCAAGCATCTAGGCACCAATACTGCCTGCATATAAGGGGATGGACTATATAGCAGCTGGTTTGGATTCTACAAAAACTAGATCAGTTCATAACTTACGTTGGGAAATTAATCGATCTGAGTGCCTGTGGAACTTTCGAAGATCCCTCATAATTAAAATTATATATGTTTTAGGGGATCCTATGTCTTACAAGGAAGAAGACGGCGAAGATTATTGAGTGGTGCGAAAACCACCCTGGCTATGTGCGGTCTCTCAACTGCACATACATGTAAAGGTGCTGGGTGGGGCAGCTTTTGTAACAGCATAGGACATCACTATACACATGGCAAAAACCTCGAATGACTGTATTTGAGTCTTTCATGTTCCCATGATCATGAACATTATACCAAATGCTGAAAGCTGGTGCCCCATATAGGCTGTTCTGGGAACTCATGACCCCTCAAATTGAATGCCCCTACGTGGCATCCAGCCGGCCTGGACACCTTAAGCCCTAAACCCTAAACCCTATAAACCCTAAATGTCTTCAGTGTGGCTTCTAGCGTGCAGGCTCACTATGTTTCCACCGGAACTTTGACCCCCTGCTACCCATGGAATCCTCTTATGGCCTTGACCCTTTGCTACCTCCTAGCTTCGATCTGTAAAACCCGTAAAGTAACTGTCAGTAACCCAATAACTCTTCGACCCTTCTGCTTGCCCCCTGGATTCTCCCTACTCAGGCACAACAAGTACGACGAAGACGAGTTGGAGTACTTTGTTGATGTCAGAACGCTTTCAAAGAAAGGCGTCAAGGAAACCGAGGGCATCAGAGACAGTACGAGGGGCTCGGGCAGTGTGGATTCCATGGCAGATGCTGCCAAACCTTCGGATCTGAGCAGTTGGGATCTGGGTTCTATGGCGGGCACAGCCGTGGAAACTGGGAAGGACAAAGTGCCTTCTCTTTAATTGCTATGTGGTTGCATGTTGTGTGGAGACACACTGAGCTAACTTGGTTTTACATGTATTGCAGTGGTTTGAATGGCAAACAAGGTCTTGGACAGCATCCACCGGCATACGCAAGAGTCTGTGAATGCCAGAGACAAGCTCTCCAAGTTTATGGAGAAGTTGGACACTAGTGATGCTACGGTCAAAGCGTGTGGGCCCTAAAAAAAGGTCTACCAACTTGAAATTGTGGATATGGGCTGTGTTGTCATGTGTGTGCGCCATCGATCCTTTTAAGATTGTGTAAGTCCCAGGGAGCTGCCAAAGATAATTGATGTGGTCAAGAATCTGGGCACCCTTTACGATGACCTCGCAAAGCTACAGGCAGATGCCAAGACAGGTGGCTTCGCAGATTTGCAGCCTGGCCAAATCCTGTTGATCTGCCGTGTGAGTACATGTAGTTAGGCAATGGAGTTTGGGACCCAAGGCAGCAAAAGGAGCTTGACAACAAGTGCCAGGCTGTAAAGCGAGAGAGTCTTGACTGCATGTCAGGAATACAGAAAATAGTGCCTACAGCCTTTTTTTATATAGGGGGACTGTCATGGAACAACTCAGGATGACAATGGCTGTGTCAATCGAGATCAAAAACAAGCTCCTTGGACGAATCATATAAACCAAAAGAAGCAATCTTTGATTGACTGTAATGCCCCGGACCTTTAAACCCTCGATCCCTATATACTGCAACCTCACTCCTCAAAGGGAAGACCTGTTTAAAGGAGCCCAACTAACCAGACTGTGTGGTTCTGTTCCCATGCGCACTACACCTCGATCCGCAGGAAGCTGAAGCGCAAGGCCACTCAGAAGCGAGCTGCGGAGCCCACTGAAAAGGCTACCCCTTCGAAGCCCGCAAAGAAAGCCCCCAAGAGGAGAAAGCAGTAAGAGTTGCCCCTACGTAGGACTGTTTGGTTGTGATTCCTTCCCAGCTCAAGCCCTGAAGCCTGAAAGTGATTCCTGGGTAGTGGCTAGATCCTGTGTAGGCCCAGAAGCTCTGTCATAGCTCCATGGAAGATTTTTCGCAGGGACCTTGTGCTGGCATGGAAGTTCATTCACATGACCACGCATGATGATATGGTCAATTCGCTTTTATGTGAATGGTGCTGAAAGGGGTGCTGAAAGCATTCTCCACAGTACCAACCAGGATGTGCGGACTACATGCGCACAGATCTCAATTAAATTGAGTTGTTTCTGGGTGTTTCAGGCCAAGCTCCCAAACATTGGTTGAACATTTTTAGTAACCACGTATGTATGTACATTAGATCCAGCCAACATTTCTGCAGTGTATGCAAAGTAGGGAGGCCTTGATCATGCCAGGCTCACAGCTTGCGTACTGCTTGGAGGTCTGGGATGTGACCTGCGTTTGCCGCTTGCGAAAATGATGGGGTGCTCCGAATCTGAACCACGCGGATCTTGATTACGTTGCTTTGTATGCGTGCACGCTTCGTACGCATGCACGCAATACAGTGCAAATGATTGCTACTGCTCTTGGCTGTTCGCATTTTAGTAGATGGTCCAGCTGAAATGAATATGACCCGCACACTTCCCGAAACAACAATCCCCAGATTCTCTATCTACTGCATGGTTTTGACTCAATTGACCTAAATCCCTATATTCGAATTTCCCAGAAGCTCTATAGACCCAGATTCTGAATATACCCTTTGCCTCTATGAATGCCAGGTTTGGTGAACACTCAAGCGAGTCATCGGGCCCACGCATTGGCGAAGTCACTGGGGTCTGGAGCTTCGGCCTCAACAGGGCTGTGTGGCTATGTAGGTGACTCAGCATGGTTGGGCACAACCAATTTGATGTGATTTGCATGGGGCTCACAGTTACACACATGGGGTGGCCAATGAGGTTTTGCACACCTGGGTTGGTATGTACCATGCAGCAGTGTGTTGTCAACCCTATAATGACCGATTAGCTGCGTGATCCACTTGTGTATGATGCTGCATAAGCACTTTTATTTTGAATGCATTTTAGGTTTTCACTGCATGCTGCCATGCTGTGCAAAAGGGCAAAGAGGAGGCTTGACATTTTCCCCTGGGCTTCTGACACTGATGAAGAAGAGCGTGCTCAGCAGCAGCAGCAGCGTATGCAGCCTGACACAAGGAAAAGCATTGGGCCTAGTGATGTAGTGAAGGGAAGCATCTCCTATGACTTTGCTCCTGACCATGTTCAAGCAGGGAAGGTGTTGGCTCATTGTCAGAACTGCATCCAAAGGCTACGCTTTGCTGTTGGTGAGGGTTCCTTGAAAATCGTGATCTACAAGATCGGGATTACCCACGATTGCACTGCCCGCTTCGAGCTGTACAAAGCACACAATTGGACAAGGATGGTCGTGATGGCTTCAAGTGAGGATCTAGGGCTCATAGAAATGCTTGAGGCTGCGTTGATCTCTCACCACAATCGCGGTGTTCAGTGCCGTAATGTCCTTTTGGGAGGAGAGGGAATGCGTGACAAGGACTTCAGTCCTAAGTTCCGGCCTCCCTTCTATTGCTACTGTGTGGCTGCAAGGGCCGACTTGCCGAAGTGGATCATTTGAAATCTGTTAGTGCTGCTTCGAACTTCTGCATGTGGCAAGCTGTGTACCATTTTGCGCCAGTAATTTGATGCAGCTACACGGGAGATGCCTGAGCTTTGCTGCTTAATTGATATGGGGCCCATTATTCTCCTGTGCTACTGCGAAATTAGTGTGTGCGCAACGTCCGATTGCAGCTATGTAGGGCTTATGAGTCCTTGCTCGAAAAAGGATGCAGTGACCATGCTTGCATGCTGACATGGCAGGAAATTTGGTAATTGGCATATGGGAACCCCTCGATATACCTCAGACCCCTGCCCGAATCATACTAAGAAGCCAGTTCTCTATAACCGCCTGCATGTGTGAAATTAGATCTGGGTGAGCCTCCAACCGCCCGAGGCCACTGGCAAGCACGTGGCCAACATTGCGAAGGCCTTTGCGGACGATATTGGAGCTTGCAGAGCTTTGAAGGATCTAGCCAGGGCTCCAGTTTGTGATGCTGAGAAATACCTTCAAAAGGTTTTGCAAAAATGGGAGCTCATATTCGATGTTCCAATTACCTATGTCGATGTTTCGGACACCTGCCGGATTCCCTTTCTGAAGCCCTCGGACTACATCATGAAATTATGCGAGAAGGGGTTCTTGAACAAGTTGCTGGGGGGCCCGCTGGAGAGTAGTACCCTGTAAGCAAACCCTGGAAACATTGTTTTCGAAATTCTTGGGTGTAACTGCCTATATCGATGTTAATCTTATATAAGATATTTCTGTCTCAACCCAAACCCCTTCCCATCCCAGGTGCTGCGAGGCTTGAGGAATTTTGGGAAAGGTTCCGTGAGGAGGAGCCAAACCACGAGGTCTTCACCCACGATTTCTTTTCAACCAAGGATCTTGTACCACTTTATGTGCACGGGGATGGCGGGAGAACGTATCGCAGAGACGAGTTGATGGTTCTTCAGTTCCAGCCTATTCTGGGTTTCGGATCTCGGGCCTCACATCCCCTGAAGAGACGGTGTGCTGCAGCAGGTGTGAACTTACAGGGACACTCGTTTACAACCAGATTCCTTACAAGTGTGATGCCGAAATCACTGTATAAGAATCATCCTGCACATTTCGATGGTTTTGTCAAAGCGGCCTTTGAAGATCTGGAACAACTCTACTACAGTGGTCTCAGGATTCGTGATGATCACACACTGCGCTTCATAGTCTTGGGGCTAAAGGGCGATTTACCTTTTTTGGTGAAGTCAGGTCATCTCAACCGCAGCTTCGTGAACGTTCGCAAGGGTCCTGAAAACCCCAAGTCGAGGCCCTTGACTGGGTGTTGTTGGAAATGCGCCGCAGGGAGCAGTGCTGTGCCGTTTGAGGAGTTTACCCGGTCACCAGCTTGGCTGACTACTACTGGGCCCAACAATGAACTTCCATGGACAACCATTGCACCCTTCCTTGATCACGTACCCCATGTTCTTGAAGACAAGGGGGCCTTTTTCAAACTAGACCTTCTACATATCTACCACCTGGGAATTGGGCGTGACTTTGCAGCAAGCTCTCTGGTGGTGGTTTTGGATCTCGTCTACGAGGGCTCAATCCCCGAGAAGTTGGCAAGCATGAATGTTGACTTGAAACAGTATCTGAAATCAGCGAAAAAACAGGTACACTTCAAGCTTCTTACGCGCGATATTCTGGGATATGATTCAGACAAAAATTTTCCGGCTGGGCATTGGAACAAGGCATTCGATACTCCAGTTTTGATTGAGTTCACGGGCTGGGTGCTGCGTCGATACAATGTCATCCTCAACTCGCACCGGATGCTTCAGATCATAGCTAGTGCTTGCGATGCCATGTCCAGATTTATGCACAACTTGCTTCGGTCTGGATTGTGGATGAGGCAAGCTGTGGCTGCAGACTCGGGAGAAGATGGGCTATACTTTCTGGCCTGTTATGGCAAGCTTGCAAGGCTTTCCTTTGAGGTGCGCAAATGTCGCTACAATATGGTTCCGAAACTGCATTGTTTCCATCACGTATGCCTCGACCTCATCCGAAAATCTAGCCACTTGAGCTATTTGCTGAACCCCCTGGCAGAATGCACTTTCCAAGACGAAGATTTTGTAGGGCGCGTTGCCCGCTTAAGCAGGCGGGTCAGTCCACGTTTGCAATGCCTCCGGACAATCCAGAGGTACTTAATCGCTACAAGGTATGAACTGCCCAGCTAATGGAGAGTAGCCTCGATCGGTACTTTGCCACCTATATGGGATCCCAACTTTATAAGTATAGAAGCGGACCCTGAACTTAAGTGAAAATCGGGCTAAACTTTCCTGGGCTGAGCTTCCAGCGAACCCACGGCCACCAATCGCCGAGGCGAAGAAACGCATGGTGGGCTTATTAGGGTTTAGGGCTTCAGTGGGCTTATAGGATTTATAGGGCTTCAGGGCTCATAGCCAAATGAGCGATCTATGGGGTATAATTGGGTTATCATGCATGCATGCATGCATATGCATGGTTTTTCGGGCATAAGTTTAATTCCTTAAGGGGTTTGACGAGAGCAGGCCCAATGGTGTTCTTCAAGGCAGGCACAGGGTTTAGGGGTTGAGGGTTTGGAATCCCTTCCTTGATTATGCACTTAATTTCGTTGCGGGGTACAAGGTCTGAGGCCTTTCGGAGCTGAAGTTCTGGGTTTAAGTGCTGTATATGTTGAGTTCCCTTATAGAATTAAGCTTTCGAAGTTCCTATTCCTGTCAGGCAAATCCGTCCAATGTATGTAATTTGGGGTGGTTGTTGGGACATGGAAGTATGCATGTACATAATGCTTTGTCCTTGAACTCATATCGACATCTCAGCTTCAGAACCCACACCCAGAAATCCCCACTATGCCCATAAATCAAAGTGCGACTGCTTTTCTGGGGGAAAACCTATCTATTCCCAGCAACCTGAAATTAAGCGGTGAAACAGGTAGCAGGTATAGAATTCCCTATACAACCCCCTCATGGAGTTTAGACTATAACTCATATGGGCATGCGCGATCCCATGTTTTAGGTCTTAGCATACGACCTACAGTATGCGGAGCTCATCCCAGGAGTACATGTGGCAGGGACTGCCCTGAAGCCGAAAATTCAAATTCTGGTCAAGCACCCGCCCTCAATCCGCACACCCCAATTCCCTGATCCTATGAAAGGCTCAGGGATTCTGCTCCTGACGTAGGAGGCCGCTGGTTTAGACACCCATGAGCAACATCAGGACAGTACGTACTAAGCTAGATCCTGTAAACCGGGCATTCGAGCAAAATACATATAATATACTAAAATAGCCTCCATGTTCTTTTCCATTATCCCTATATAGCACCTATATTACCCCAATATTACTCCAATATACTAACCGGCGCCGGTGCCCAACCATGTCACAAAGTATTTTCATATCTTGCGGTATCATGAGATTGCGCTGGTAAGATGCGTGCCCGGACCCTGGACTTTCCCAAGCCTTGAATATACAAGGCACAACTTCAATCAAACCATGCATGCCCGGATCAAGCGCGGGGTCCTCCTCTATTTCAGATGGTGCCTGGCAACAACCAAAGCAAATGCAGAATGTGATACATAATGTCGTAGCTTCCATTTTCTTTTCCATTATCCCAATATGGCCGCCAATGTAACCCCAGTATTCGGGCTGGTTTCTTTTGCTGTGGGGGGCTTGTAGCGGAGCTAGAGTTCAAGCGAACCAAGGCTGAAGATGTTAATTCTCCAGGGCGGAGGAACCTTCATCTTGTGTCCAGCCTGGGTGTGTTGAATTCTGAATATTCGGAGACATTTCATACGCACTACGTACAAGGCGCATGCAATCGCCATGAATCGTGTGGAAATTGCGAGATGCTGTCGCAAGGAGCTTGTCGCAGGTGAGGGGCGGGGATGACCGGGTGCACTTCCCTCCCCGGCAAGTTCAAGCCCCGTTTTTACGTCTTTTTCTACAAGGACTGCTCCAGTTTCAGAGTTTATTGCGGGGCCGTGCGGATGACAAATGCACACACTTTGGCGCCAACGTGTTTTTTGACCGCGCACGACAGCACAAGGGCATGATCATGCTTGCTATCTACTAGTAGCATAGTCCGCCTATATGTGTGGGTAGAGACGCTTATCTGGCAATTTGTTTGTGGGTCTAGGGCATGCGATACTGGGGGGAACCTGCTTCTGGAGAAGCGCGTTCTGCCCCATACAAAGCCGGCAAGATGACGGTGTAGATTACAGTCTCCAACAGGCATGGAAGCCCGAACGACACTGCAAAGACTGCTGTCCTTAGCCCAAGCCCCGCCTCCGCACCCCCACAGCAACTTGCCAAAGCTGAGTCTCTACGTGACTAGGTTATTACTAGTTCCTGCGGAACACATGAGCATTTATCTCTAGGGGCTTCCAAAACCTTCTTTATTTCGCGAAGCATTTCAAACCTGAACCTTCTCCTGCCCTCAGAATAGCTGGATCTCAGCAGCCCATGGTTTGGCACATAGCGTAGAGGCCTATTCAATCAGAATAGGGCTTTAAATTGGGGTATAATTATACAAGGAATGTATTATGACAAGGGGATAGCCTTGGCGGCTATTCAGTTATTCAGTCAGGCTTCCACATGCAGCAACCGTAGAACCCCTGCAGAACCCCAGTTCCTGTTTGATTCTCCGTTGTTTCTACAGTATCCTGCCCCAACCCCTAAACCCTAAAGCCTAACCAAAAAAACCCTAACCCTGGAGAAAGAGTGGAGGCTCGCACCCTACTGTGGCTGCAAGCCCCCTCGCTGAAGACGCTATGTTTCCGCGGCCTTTGAGCAGAGGGTTTAGGGTTTAGGGGTTTAGGGTTTAGGTTTTAGTATGTCTGCAGAAATTGGAATACGCCCTACAGCAACTTATAAAGTAGTCTCGGGTATATGAGCCATAGTCTAAAACAGTCTAAGCTGCTAGTATCCCCCTTAAGAGCCCTATAATACTCCCCTATATAATCTCTTATGTATAGCTCATATAATGGGGATCCCGGGATTCCAATATTTTTTTTGGAAAGTGGCCTTGAGGCTAGGGTTTCTGAATTTACGACGGCCTTAAGAATTGGGGTCCCGGTTTGGTAGGCCTGGGGTTTAGGGTTGGTCTAGGGCTTAGGGTCTAGAGTCTAGGGTTTAGGGTCTCGGGTTTAAGGTTTAAGGTCTAGGGTTTAGGGTCTAGGGTGTAAGGTTTAGGGTCTAGGGTCTAGGTTTTTTTTAGGGTTTAGGGGCTGAGGTAGCCCTAAACCCATGGGGTCTCCGGAATAAGAGACCCTTGTTCAGCAAAGGTTAGGCAAGTCCGTCATTGAAGCCCTAGAATACTGCCCTGGACCCCATTTTTGCCCTAAACCCGAAGCCCGAAAGCTTAAGCGCGTGGAAGAACCTTTCAAGTTTCAAGGTTTTGGGGTGAGAGCCAGCTCACGCCAAAGGGGGTCGGAGGGGGGATGACCATACATCACGGCTTCATGAAGGAAATCCTGGGTTGCTGTTAAGGAACTTAAATTAAGTTACCATAATGGGTTTATATAGTAAATAGTGGGGTTTCCCCAATACTGTAACTTAATTTAAGTTCCTTAACAGAAACCCAGAATCTTGCCCCACCTTGGACCAATAGCTTTGCTTCCTTGTACATCCTGGTAGTGCTAAGTTACGGTAACTACTATCCATACTGGATTTCGCCAGTCCATGCCCATGGCCAATCTCGAGGTTACTGCCTGATGGTACCAATGCTCACCCTACATGGTAGTTTCCATGAAGAGCGGGACCCCAATATAGACCCCAATATACTATAGTCCTCATTAATAATGAGGACTATAGTATATTGGGGTACGGGGACCCCCTAAACCCCATGTACCCCCAGAAACCCCTATCTATCCCCTAACCCTAAACCCTAAACCCCCATATATACCCCTATCTATCCCCTAAGCCCTAAGCCCTAGACCCTAATTTTGGGTAACCCTAAACCCTATATAACCCCTACGTATCCCCTATATCCCCTTCAAAAGTACCCCCAATTTTCAGATCAGTGCTCCAAAATGCAGGTAATCTCCTGAAGGGTCCGGAGCTCGCCTCCGAGAGCTGCACAGGCAAACCTGTCCGCAGGCAGCGCCATTGACAGTAATGATCGAATGATCATTAGAGTAACAGTAATACAAAAACATAGCAAGAATAGAAAACAGCAATAATAATAGTAATAATAAACATAATAGAAATAATAGTAATCGTAATGACCCTAATGATGTTAACGATAATACCGGTTGATGGGGACCTTATTGCAGGTGGTTGTGTAGTGGAATTGGGCCCTGACCATAACCCTACTTCGAACCCTACTTGTGCAAGTACCCACGAAGATCTGAGTGAGCTTCAGTCATCCTCAAGTAGACGAAGAGCGCATATCATGCGTGATGCTCCTCAAGCTGTTGAACAATATATATATATACAGACTGATCCAGTGCTGGGTTGGACCTAGAGCTTGTGCCCAAATTAAGCTCCTTGCAGACTACATGCCCTTCCAAAATGCAAATTGCGAAGGAACACGCTTTCAGATAAAACCGGAAATGGGGAGTGAAGGAAAGGAATATACGCATCATCACCAGGAATTATTTTGGAATACTTAGGGCCTTCGCAAGACCAACCAGCAGTAAGGCTTTGGTTGAACTCAATGCACCCAATTCGAAGGTGAGCCCTGCCTCTGCCACCGAAGTGCAGGTATCTGTTAGCAGCCCCTGGCAGATCGGGCTTCGCTTTGGGAGCTGGGGTTAGTAGTGAAAGTAATTATAGTAATAATATTAATTAGTCTCATTTTGGTAATAGTGGTAAAGTAGCAACCATATAACCTGCATAGGGATACCTCAGCAACCCAAGAAGCCATAACACGCTGATGCATGGATGTTCCTCTGGTTGCTGCTTTCGGGGGGCACGTGGCTTTGTCATAATCCCATTAAGCATGCCTTTTTGCGGTCAACACGCGAGGCGCGGGGAGTCCAGTTTCAGAGAGGTTGGATTTGGGCTATATATGCTTGCATCAAGGACCTTTGGACAGTTTTCTGACAAGGGGGCTAACACTTGAAGAAACGAGTCACGTCATAAAGAAAACAAGTCCTTGTAGCAGTCCCACGACACGGGACCCCAATGCTCGGAAACCCCAGTTATCCGAAAATACTTAGCAGTCCGGAACAACCACTGATGATATGATGTTTGCTGGCTCCACAGCGGGTGCCAATGGGCCTAACGTCAAGAGCGTAAACCCAGCTAAACATCAAGGCCAAGCCAAAAAAATGCCAACAACAGTCACGACAAGCATGCAAACTGCGATGGCTATGACAAAGATTGAGGTATACAAAGGTCGATGCGATGATAGGGTGCGGCAGTCCAAGCAACGCAGAGACAACACTACTATGCGCAGACAAAGAACTGACATGTTGGGGATGGTATTGGGACCCTGATTCTCAACTACAGTACCCTAACTGTATAGCAAGTACGACCAGCCAGTTATCACATCGAGATACAGTTGCCCTCCCACAACTCTACCCCCTTCTCTGTGGCCAAGCAATCTTCACTGACTACGCCTTACATTTATGCATATGGGGGTTGTCGTTTTGGGTGTCTGGGTGTAAATGCCTAGGAATTGAGCATTGCGTTACATGTACAGAAGCAGGACGCGCCTCCCTGTCGCAGAAACAGACGACCGTAGTGGAGTTGAGGGTGTGCCTGCCACTTTCCATCCTATCTGAGACAGTAATGCTCCAGAGGACGAAAGCCGTCAAGTCCACCACCACCACCACCACCATCATCACCACCACATGGTAGTTTCCCAAAATAGGGGGACCCCAATACAGACCCCAAAATTTATGGGGACCCCCAAAAAGGTACCCCTAATGTTGGGAAACTACCACATCTCCCAACAATGAGCTCTGAACAGATGTCGCAGCAAACACTCTGTCAGAGCAAGAGAGCCTGAGCCCTGGTAAGCACATGCTACACAGAGCGACTATACACCCACTTCTTCGGGGCGGAAATCCTCCCACTGCGCGCTCCACCTGCAAAGAAGAACCCAAAAAGAAGACAATTTTGAGACATGACATTCCCACAAAGATCATACTGGGCTTCTGGCATGAGATTTGCCTGTCCTGCACCAGCACGAGTTCAAGTTCAGGCTTGATGAGAAACACGGAAGCACGAGGACTACACTAAGGGTATAGGAAGTCGTCAAACAGAAAGCTTTCGTGCGGTCCCCATGTCCAGGTTGTTGCGGTGGGTGTGACTTTGGGCGGCAATAGAGATGGTGGTCGCAGCAGCGGGAGCCACCATGTCCAACGCAGTAACAGTGGCAAGCAACTGTTCAACTGCTAATGGCAACCTCATAGCATACTGATTTTTGGGAGCTCAGCTCCAAAATCCAGTTGCTCCCCATGAATATCCTCCCTGATACTGTATATGATGGTGCTATAGTGGGGGTTATCTGTTACGAGATCGGGAGGTTGGGGCGGGGATTATTGCAAAACTTCCCTTTTGCAATTGCGGACCAAACGTGCAAGGCAGGAGGTCAAGTATTTCCCTACATCATCCCAATAAAATCCCTACTTAATCCCAAATAGGGACCCCATAAACTGATGCTCGCCTTGAAGAGGCACCATGCTTAATGTCATTGAGGCCGGCTGCTGCACACGCACATGATGCCAGCTAGTCCCACAACACTCTGACATGCTGCCCAAGAGCCGCTATGAGCCTGGTTGAATCCTGTCTCTTTGCGGTTTGCCCTTGAGGTCCTTCCAATCCCTGGCCCAGGATCTCAAAAAGCTCTTTGAGCTGCCACTGCAGGGGAACCTCAGCGGTCCGAAGGGTTGCAGGCAGTTGTTGACGGGAAGAAGGGCACCTTGATGGCATGTGCTGTGTGGAAACCATGTAGATGAGCGATTTGAGGTCAGGGTTTTGGCTTGAGAATGATTATTTGGGTGGTTTGGGACCCCATATGTGCACGAGAAGTAGAGTGGAAATGAATCCACACATGAAGCAAATAGTAGCCACCCCTGAAGTATGAGCTTGCATTCGATGCGCTACACAAATAAGGTGAAAATGTTTGAGATCTTCTGACCTCTGGCAGCTGGTAGCGGTGCCGGTAGAATCTTCCTACAGTTGCTGTCGTAGCTGCAGGTCCTCGTTTGAATTCCGATATGCCTTGGAACCCTAAACCAATTCCCGCAGCGTGTCATCTTGTAAGGGCAAAGGGCCTCAAAGGAGCACTCTCGCAAAATCCTACTTATAGTAATGGTTTCCAGTTTATCTTCCAGTACCCCAATAGAACCCATAGAACCCCTATATAACCCCAATATATCCCAAAATAACCCCAATATATCCCCTATATAGCTCCAATATTGAGAGTTTCGGACTCCTGCATGAGAAGCCTGTTTGCCTCCAAGCAATGTAACGGTATACCGCCGCAATGCGGTCCAAAACGCTGCTGACAAAACATTCACAAGAGGGTCGCGGCGGGAGTCACATTGAGCTGTAGTCAAGACTCCCTGAACTCTTGATAAGGAAGAGGTAATGCCTTGAAGGAAGCTGCCCTAGAGTACGTTCCCCATACAGGATTCTTTATGTTGTCGTGCTCCGTAGCTAAGCTGTCCCAGATTGGGCGGGCATCACAATAGTTGCCCATCTGACGGGTTCTCGCAAGTGAGTCATTGCTGGCAATAAGTACTTTCAGTCACACTCCTGACCCCGCATTTTGCAGCATAGCTGTTCAGGGGCGTACTTCACGTCTTTTGTTAAGCAATTGTGGCATGTACATTCCTGTGCCTACAGCCTCTGCGAGGATCCAGGACTGACTCAGCATAGATTTGCAAAAACTTCGACCTTTGCAAGCAAAGAACAAGATGCTGCTTGAAAGCCAGTGTAAACATGCCCGGGCGTTTAACATCCGGTGCAATTAATGTGACTCCCAATCATTGTCCGCTGCGAAAGAGACGTCCCAAGAGCTTTGCAGCCACTGGCTCACTGGGCGTGGCGATCTGCAGCTCCGCTGCTGATCGAAGGCCCAAAAGCGCGCAAGGGCTCTCGCTCCCGGTCTGGATACTGCTGCTGGATTGGAGCATGGGACATAACCTAGATGAATTCTAAATCTGAATGTTATTATATTGGATTACATTGAAACACGTGTGTCAACTCAGCGCCTGCGTCGTGGGCAAGATAAGACCCTACCAGGAAAGATCATTTGGCTCATGTGTTCCGTCGAGCGGAACGGTGGGGGTTCATATCACCTCAAGTGCGCAGCTGCAATTTGCTAGTTCTCCGTGAACAGCTACTAGGAAACAGCAACAGCAATAGCAGTAGCAGCGACCTAAGCGAAGGTCTGTTTGCCATCACTGACACATTCTGGTGCCCTCATTTCGATGAGTGTCCCCAGATCGGGCTCCGAAATCCCGAGCGGCACGAGGCCTCTGCAACAACTCCCACTAGGGCAGAGCCTGCCAAGCGCAGCCTCTGAGATCACTAACAGGAGGCCGGGTACTAACCCAACCCTTCGGGCTTAGAGTTGAGTGCTTAGTAGTGTTGCCTTAGGCTGATAGTCCCAGAGGGGTGGAGCTGTATCCGCCCTCCTCAGTGATGGAAGAGCCGCAGCTGTGTGAAGGCCATGGTCATGCCATAAGTGTTGCAGGCATCGATGACCTGAGCAATGTTGTGGATCAGCACACAAGAACACACGCAGATAGGAACCTTCCTACATTAAGATTCACGGCACCATGAGGGTTTTCAAAGCTGCGATGCCTCAGACAGATTGTAGGCCCTGGATCCTAAACCCTAAGTCCTCAAGCCTAACTGTCTACATGCAGAAACCTAAACCCAGGCCAAGGGCCCTATACAGAATTGCTTTCTGATCCCTGTGTAGTTCCTCCAGAGCCATTATCCCTAAACCGTATGAGCCTACATGTACTTAGCTCCTACACCCAAAGTCCCAAATTTGCTCCCAGAGGCACCTCCTTGTCTGCCACAGACCCACCAGGCTGGGCCACAAACTTCACGCCCAGCCTGCCATCAAGCAACGAGAAGAGTCTCGGGGGCCTAGGGATACTAGGAGTTTAGACTATAACCCTATAAACCCTATAATCCCTTATATAATCCCAGTTTCCATGTCATTTTCCATTTTCTTTTCCATTTGATTCTCCATTTGATTCTCCATTATCCCAATATATCCCCAATATTATACCCTATATAGCCCATTATAGTAGTTTCCATTTTATTTTCCATTATCCCAATGGGATCCTAAACCCTAAACCCATGTGCAAATCACTTCGTTCACAGAGACAGGTTTCGGGCTTCCAGGAATTATTACTCTTGCTTTGGTGGGGCTTTGCAGTGTAGCTTGGATTATCAGTCTTCTAATCGAACCCAATATATCCTGGCACGACAATAACCTCTTTAGAGGAGCTTTCTTGATCCCACGGTGACCTCATGCTTCTCAAAGTCAAGCATGAGGTAAAGCCATCGTAGCTACAGCAGAATGTGGTGCAGGCAACATGCCGTGCATAGGGTTTCAAAGGAGTATGAGGGAGGTCCCTAGTCGGGCTTCGGTGAGTGCGTACACCTACTGCAGCAAACAAGCATGGAGTGTTGTCCCAAGGCACCACAAACCGACATCCATGCAAGTGCTTTAAAGATCGTCCGGACAAACTGCCCTGCCATGCAGCCCTCCGATCCATGCCTCAACATGTGACAGCCGTAGGGTTCCCTTTGTGGGGGCAGGGCTACCTCATGAGATACAGTCAGTATTTCCTGCATACTTGAATGGACATGGGTTCCTCAGGAAGGCCGATAATTATTTGGGACTATACTATACTACTAGAGGGGCTCCTATGTCCACTGGTAGAGGTTGCCTAATCAGGCTCATATAGGCAGTTGCTCGCACAATTCCTGAGTCTTCCCCGGAGTATTGTGGCTTGGCCTGCAAGCAGCTTGACATGATTTCTGCCAGCTGATAAGACTGCCCGATGCCTGACCCATTTCGATTCTGAGTCCAGCCTCCGCCTAAACCTTGGTCTTAAAGGTTCTTAGTAGGGAATAAGAGAATATCGTCGTACATATGTAATCCCGATACATCAAGCTTAAAAAAAAGCTAGCAGGACTTGCGAGTATGGGTGTTCCTCGACATAGCCCTGTGAAATCCTTCGGGAAACCCCATACCAAATTCCCCTGGCGATCGTATATCCATAGGATCCCTAAGAATATCCACATTGTGTGTTCCCACTAAACCCCCAAACCCCTAACCCTTTTTTTTTGTCGGAAAACCCTTGCCTGGTGGCATGGTCAATGGAATCCCGGAAGGGGAAGAAGGCATCGGATGAGATGGCGACATCGTCCAGGCCTGCCGGACGTCAGGTGCTGTGAGGAGATTCCCCTGTACTATAGGGTTTAGGGTTTAGGGTTTAGGATTTAGGGTTTAGGGTTTAGGGTTTACTATAGTATATTAGGGGGTTATATTGGAGGCTATCCTGGTATAATGGAAAAGAAAAAGGAGATACCAATACATATTGTAGGTTGTATAGGCCTCTACGGCTTTGGGTTCAGGCATGTAGGAGGTGGGCGACGTTGCCAACTGTTGACTCCTCAAACTAGGGCCACAACTATGGCGTGTCATAGTACATTCTCATATGTTATAAAATATGACGGTATATGTGAATCAGTATAGCATGACACTGTCATGTAAAATCTTGCCTTTCAGGAAGGTGCTCTTCTCTTCCGCCGTAAGGGGCTCCGGGGGGGAGTCAAAGTTCTTCAGCCACTCGGTGCGCTCAGCCTCCTCCGAAAACGCGGCAGGCGTTGGGTGGCAGTGGGCTTAGGGGAGTGGCGGGCTGGAAAAATCCGAAGGTATTCTGGGTTGCTGTTAAGGA